ACTTATAGGTAATAATAAATGAGAAAAAGCTAAAGAGCAGATTTTTTTTACACTGAGAAAATCCCCACAGACATTAACAGTATCTATCGAGGTGCTGTAATACTATCTGTGACAGGCACTGCTCACATCAGTATCCTCCCAAACTGAACGCACGACCTTCCCTGCCCTAGGCTCTCTCCTCACCGCTAAAGGATAATAAGATTTTAAGCAATAATCACTTATAGGTAATAATAAATGAGAAAAAGCTAAAGAGCAGATTTTTTTTACACTGAGAAAACCCCCACAGACATTAACAGTATCTATCGAGGTGCTGTAATACTGTCTGTGACAGGCACTGCTCACATCAGTATCCTCCCAAACTGAACGCACGACCTTCCCTGCCCTAGGCTCTCTCCTCACCGTACCCCACTCCTACCAAACTGTTCCTCTCGCTGTCTCAGGAGACAGCACAGCCATCTACCAGTCGCGGCAAGTCAGAAACAAAGGAGTCATTCCCAACACCTCTTTCTACCTCACCCCATAGATTCATCCAAGTCCTGCTGATTTTACCTCCAAATACTTCTTCAATCTTTCTATTTCTGTACATCTTCCTTATAATCACCCAAGTCCAAGCTATCAGTGTCCTAGTTTGGACTACTTTTATATCCCCATGGCATTCTTACTGGCTTCCAGGCCTCCACCCCAAGCTGTTTTCCAAACAGCAACCAGATGCTCTCTTTAAAATGCTAGTCTAATATTCGTATATTCCTTCTCTATTTAAAATCCTTCAGTCTTTCCTTTGCTCCTGGATACAAAACAAATTCTTAATCATGGCCTACAAAGTCCTGCATAATTTGTCTCTCTTATTCCCCTGGCTCCACGTCTTCAGTGACACCAGCTTCCTACAGCCCCGAGAGTGCCATGCTCCCTTCTCCACGCATCTCGGCCTCTGTGGGTTAACTTCTCCTCATCTCTCAGATGTTGACTCATATCTCACTTCCTCAAGTAAGTCTCCTCCACCTTCTAGATGAGAGCACATCTGTCACCATGCTACTAAAGTTCCCTATACTTTTCATAGCACTGATTACAGTTTTTAACTATATACTTGTGTGATTATTCAACTGTTTGTCTTCCTTACTAGGCTGTAAACCTCCAGAAGAGATTTTCCTTGAATATTCTGCTCACCAGGCACACAATAAATATTTATGGAATGTCAGTAAATGAAAACAATGCAAATGGATGTTATTTCTTTCCTTTTCTTTTGGCAGCTGGCCAGTATGGAGATCTAAACCCTCGAACTTGGAGTTATCGACGCCATGCTCCGAGTGAGCTAACCAGCCAGCCTGCATGTTATTTCTTAACGAATGGTATTTTTTTTCCAACTATTATAGGATAATTGTTTAAAAATCTTCTTCTAGTTTAAGAAATTATCTTCTTGCTCACAGAAGTATATTTTTACCCCAATTTATAGTGGACAAACTGTACTTAAGAAATATATATGAGGTATCAAACTTTTGGTGTAAGTTCATAGCATTTAAAATTCATGATAAAAAATGGTCTGTTGTTCTCTCATAGTTACAATGAAATCCCTCTGGAATTTAGAATTATACATGTCTGTCTGTATTGGCAAACTCATATCAATTATTTTCATATCATATCATAGTATTTTGAAAATCAACATGCAAACACATTTTGTTTACCAAAGGCAAGCATGTCAACAGCAGAAATCATTTCAAGTAAACTTAATGGTAGATGAAAAAAGTCTTACCCTCAGAAAAGAGATGTTTGCTATCAGTTTAGTATTGATTACAAAACTGCCTCACTGAGTCAAAAAAAAAAAAAAACAACTAAGTCTTAAGAACAGAGGAAGAATAAACCTGTGATGTTTGCTATCAGTTTAGTATTGATTACAAAACTGCCTCACTGAGTCAAAAAAAAAAAAACAACAACTAAGTCTTAAGAACAGAGGAAGAATAAACCTGCAGCATAAGTAAGAATAAGCTAAAAGAACTCGCAGTAAGAATTGTTGCACTTGAGCATACAAATATATTAGATCATAACACTGCAGTACCTACTGTTCTCTGTGTTTACTCATCCATTTGTGGAGAAAGGACTTGGTTTAGAAGGAACTCCGAAAACTGCCATTTCCTTTCTCCAGCTTCCTTTCATGCTTTGTTCCTCCTCTTTCCATATGAAATTCAGCTCAATGGTTGATCAAACCTTGATCAAATTATGTTTCTATGTAGCATCATCACTTTCAAATATTAGCAATGTAATTATTAGTTAACTTGCAATCAGAAACATTTTTGGATAAAGAACTTAAAGAAAATTTCATAAAATGGGTGTTTATAAAGTAACTAAGAAACACAAAACAAGAAAAATTGTAACTTTTTATATAAGTTTATACAAGTATTGAGGATATAAGACCATGTAAATGGTCATAAAATGAAATATATTGCCATTATTAAACATGTTTTTGACTCTTGCTCCTGTCAGTACGGCAGTCTAGATAGATACTCACAGAAGCCTTTTGCTGTAATACAACTAGATCCTGACAAAGTACAGCCAGTATAATTTTAATGCTTTATGTGTTTACATTCAACTAAGAGAACTGTCCAAGGCCCAGAAAACAAAGCCTAATGAATAAACAAACAAAACAATAGAAAAAGAGTGAGCTGAAATTATCATGGTAAGTGAATGGAGCAAACTCAGTTTGGATTGGGCAATGCCAGGCTTAGGAGAAAGTTCTCAGGGCCTGAAGGACATGAGAGCTGACCCTGAGACTCAGTCATTATACTGAAACTGTTGAAAGGGGGATAATGAAGTATCAACCAAACACGAGCTCACAACCAGAAGAGACCAACTACACCAGAAAACAGGCCACCACGAATTAGGATTAGTAGAAAAAACAACCAACAGACTTTGACCCCTCAAAATTTCTTCAGATACTGGATAGATATGTATTGAATAAAAATTCTAAATGTACATGAGAAATGTTTGAAAAGGTAGAGTGGCAAAAATGATCATGTAGATTTGGAAGTAAAAAACTTTTAGAAATAAAAAAATTAATAATTAAAGTTAAAAATGCAAAGAATGGATAAAATAACAGACTATCTACAACAGAGGAGAGAATGAACAAACCAGCAGATAGAGGTGAATTATATACCAAGGTACTTCAACAAATTCATGGAAAAATAGAAAGATAATTATGAATCTTGCCACGAACTTTTTGAAGTACACTTGTATATCTGATTTGAATCCCACAAGGAGAGATTAGGGGTAAAAAAAACCATGTAACAGAACATATTTACATATGTTACATACATTTTCTAAGACTCAGTTTATCATTTATATCATGGGGACAATAGATCCTCCTCATAGGGGAGTTGAGAAAATTATGAGAAATAATACATACAAAATACTTCAAACAATGCCAGGCACTGGTAAACAGTTCCTCTCCTCTACAAACTTGATTCATTTTTCTCCTACTCCTTGTGTTATTTTTTTCCATTCTTTCTTTTTTTTTTTTGTCTTTTGTCTTTTCCCGTGTCCGGCAACGGATCGCAACCCTCAGTGTTGCCCCCGTACCGGACCGGGGACCAGCAACGGGAT